GAAAACATACAACTACTAAATTTTTCCCACCACAAAATTAATTCACTCCACGTTGGGAGATATAATCAAATTTTAGAAAGCCTGTTCACAACAGAATTGGAAACTTGTGAAAAAGTTTATTCGACTTGAAATATGCGCAGTTAAACACTCGCACCACTCAGAACTCGGGTCAGAAGCAGTCTCAGTTCAGCTCTGGTGCGTTGACTGTCTGTAGCTTTGACTGTCTGTAGCGTTCACGGTCTGTTGAGTTGACTGTCTGTTGTGTTGACTGTCTGTAGCGTTGACTGTCTGTTGTGTTGAGTGCCTATTGTGTTGACTGCCTGTTGCGTTGACTGTCTGTTGTGTTGACTGCCTGTTGCGTTGACTGTCTGTTGCGTTGACTGTCTGTTGCGTTGACTATTGTGTTAACTGTCTGTTGCGTTGACTGTCTGTTGTGTTGACTGTCTGTTGTGTTGACTGTCTGTTGTGTTGACTGTCTGTTGCATTGACTGTCTGTTGCGTTGACTGTCTGTTGCGTTGACTATTGTGTTGGCTGTCTGTTGCGTTGACTGTCTGTTGTGTTGACTGTCTGTTGTGTTGACTGTCTGTTGCGTTGACTGTCTGTTGCATTGACTGTCTGTTGCGTTGACTGTCTGTTGCGTTGAATGTCTGTTGTGTTGACTGCCTGTTGTGTTGACTGCCTGTTGTGTTGACTGCCTGTTGTGTTAACTGTCTGTTGTGTTGACTGCCTGTTGTGTTGACTGCCTGTTGTGTTAACTGCCTGTTGCATTGACTGTCTGTTGTATTGACTGTCTGTTGCGTTGACTGTTGTGTTGACTGTCTGTTGTTTTGACTGTCTGTTGCATTGACTGTCTGTTGCGTTGACTGTCTGTTGCGTTGAATGTCTGTTGTGTTGACTGCCTGTTGTGTTGACTGCCTGTTGTGTTGACTGCCTGTTGTGTTAACTGTCTGTTGTGTTGACTGCCTGTTGTGTTGACTGCCTGTTGTGTTGACTTCCTGTTGTGTTAACTGCCTGTTGCATTGACTGTCTGTTGTATTGACTGTCTGTTGCGTTGACTGTTGTGTTGACTGTCTGTTGTTTTGACTGTCTGTTGCATTGACTGTCTGTTGCGTTGACTGTCTGTTGCGTTGAATGTCTGTTGTGTTGACTGCCTGTTGTGTTGACTGCCTGTTGTGTTGACTGCCTGTTGTGTTAACTGTCTGTTGTGTTGACTGCCTGTTGTGTTGACTGCCTGTTGTGTTAACTGCCTGTTGCATTGACTGTCTGTTGTATTGACTGTCTGTTGCGTTGACTGTTGTGTTGACTGTCTGTTGTTTTGACTGTCTGTTGCATTGACTGTCTGTTGCGTTGACTGTCTGTTGCCTTGAATGTCTGTTACGCTGACTGTCTGTTGTGTTGACTGCCTGTTGTGTTGACTACCTGTTGTGTTGACTGCCTGTTGCGTTGACTGTCTGTTGCGTTGACTGTGTGTTGCGTTGACTGTCTGTAGCGTTGACTGTCTGTTGCATTGACTGTTGTGTTGACTGTCTGTTGCGTTGACTGTCTGTTGCATTGACTGTTGTGTTGACTGTCTGTTGCGTTGACTGTTGTGTTGACTGTTGCGTTGACTGTGTGTTGCGTTGACTGTCTGTTACGTTGACTATCTGTTGCGTTGACTGTCTGTTGCGTTGAATGTCTGTTGTGTTGACTGCCTGTTGTGTTGACTACCTGTTGTGTTAACTGCCTGTTGCGTTGAATGTCTGTTGCATTGACTGTCTGTTGCGTTGACTGTGTTGACTGTCTGTTGCGTTGACTGTGTGTTGCGTTGACTGTCTGTTACGTTGACTGTCTGTTGCGTTGACTGTCTGTTGCGTTGAATGTCTGTTGTGTTGACTGTCTGTTGTGTTGACTGTCTGTTGCATTGACTGTCTGTTGCGTTGACTGTCTGTTGCGTTGACTGTCTGTTGCCTTGAATGTCTGTTACGCTGACTGTCTGTTGTGTTGACTGCCTGTTGTGTTGACTACCTGTTGCGTTGACTGTCTGTTGCGTTGACTGTGTGTTGCGTTGACTGTCTGTTACGTTGACTGTCTGTTGCGTTGACTGTCTGTTGCGTTGACTGTCTGTTGCGTTGAATGTCTGTTGTGTTGACTGCCTGTTGTGTTGACTGCCTGTTGTGTTGACTGCCTGTTGTGTTAACTGCCTGTTGCGTTGAATGTCTGTTGCGTTGACTGTCTGTTGCGTTGACTGTTGTGTGGACTGTCTGTTGTGTTGACTGTTGTGTTGACTGTTGTGTTGACTGTCTGTTGCGTTGACTGTTGTGTTGACTGTCTGTTGCGTTGACTGTCTGTTGCCTTGAATGTCTGTTACGTTGAATGTCTGTTGCGTTGACTGTTGTTTTGACTGTCTGTTGCGTTGACTGTCTGTTGTGTTGACTGTTGTGTTGACTGTCTGTTGCGTTGACTGTTGTGTTGATTGTCTGTTGCGTTGACTGTCTTTTGCCTTGAATGTCTGTTACGTTGAATGTCTGTTACGTTGAATGTCTGTTGCGTTGACTGTCTGTTGCGTTGACTGTCTGTTGCGTTGACTGTCTGTTGCCTTGAATGTCTGTTACGTTGACTGTCTGTTGCGTTGACTGTCTGTTGCGTTGACTGTTGTGTTGACTGTCTGTTGCATTGACTGTCTGTTGCGTTGACTGTCTGTTGCGTTGACTGTCTGTTGCGTTGACTGTTGTGTTGACTGTCTGTTGCGTTGACTGTTGTGTTGACTGTCTGTTGCATTGACTGTCTGTTGCGTTGACTGTTGTGTTGACTGTCTGTTGCGTTGACTGTGTGTTGCGTTGACTGTCTGTTACGTTGACTGTCTGTTGCGTTGACTGTCTGTTGCGTTGAATGTCTGTTGTGTTGACTGTCTGTTGTGTTGACTGTCTGTTGCATTGACTGTCTGTTGCGTTGACTGTCTGTTGCGTTGACTGTCTGTTGCCTTGAATGTTTGTTACGCTGACTGTCTGTTGTGTTGACTGCCTGTTGTGTTGACTACCTGTTGTGTTGACTGCCTGTTGCGTTGACTGTCTGTTGCGTTGACTGTGTGTTGCGTTGACTGTCTGTTACGTTGACTGTCTGTTGCGTTGACTGTCTGTTGCGTTGACTGTTGTGTTGACTGTCTGTTGCGTTGACTGTCTGTTGCGTTGACTGTCTGTTGCCTTGAATGTCTGTTACGTTGACTGTCTGTTGCGTTGACTGTCTGTTGCGTTGACTGTTGTGTTGACTGTCTGTTGCGTTGACTGTTGTGTTGACGGTCTGTTGCATTGACTGTCTGTTGCGTTGACTGTCTGCTGCGTTGACTGTTGTGTTGACTGTCTGTTGCGTTGACTGTTGTGTTGACTGTCTGTTGCGTTGACTGTCTGTCGTGTTGACTGTCTTGCTTGTTGTCGGTCCATTGTAGTCTTGTCCTTGTTTCTATGTGGTTTGTTTTTGGATTCCTGTTATATCCTAACCCTAACCCTGGATTTTGTTAATTTTAAGCTGTATTTATTCTTGTATTTCTTGTATTTTTGGCAGGCCTGTATTTGAGTTCCTCCTTCTGTTTTCTCTGTGTTACATTTACTCATTTATGCCAAATATTTTAGCAATTTCACCGAGCATTGCCAACGTTTTTTTGTCAGTCTTTTTGAATTGGAAAACTGATCCAATGATTTTGATTGTTTGATTATAGAAGTAAATTAACACTAAATTAACACACACTCACGGTATAAAACAGGCGAGCGCTTGTGCGTTTTATTTTTGCTTTCCTGCAGCTGCTTCCTACTTTCTGTCTGATAGATAGACACTTTATTGATCCCCGTAGGAGAAATTCAGGTGTCCAGCAGCAGAGGACTCTTTTTGTTGTTGTTGTACAGTCAGTCGGGTTAGTTGTACAGTCTATCAGGTTTGTTGTACAGTCTGACAGTCGAAGGAACAAAAGGATCTCTTGAAACGTTCCGTTCGGCAGCGTAGTGATAGGAGCCTGTTGCTTCGATTACTCCTCTGAGCGGCCAGAGGAGTAGAGCCCTCATCCTTCTCTCCAGCACAGCTCCCACAGAGTCCACACTTCTCCCCATCACAGAGACACATTTCCTGATCAGCCTGTCGAGCCGGTTACTGTCTCTCAAGGTCAAACCTCCGCCCCAACACGCAACCCCGAAGAACACGGTACCAGCTACCACAAGAACACATTGATCAAATGGGTCCAAAGATTTAAAAAAGATTACAGATATCAAACCGTGTGAGTCGTGCTAAAAACAAGAGGCACAAAGATGGCGAACGGGAATAGCCAGCCTGAGCCTGTTTGTCCTTGGTAGCGGCCCTCTCTCTTAATATGGGCCGCCCAAAAGTTTCTCACTTTTTTATATATACTATTAAAGTCTATGGTATATACACATGTAGTACATTTAATTAATTTCTTTCACTTCCACTCTTTTACAGTACTTTACAGGTCTGCACCTTCACCTAAATCAGTGTTTCCATTCCCACACCTGCAAATCCCTAGTAATGGCTCCATTACACCCCCACTGGGATTTTTTTTATGTTTAAGGACAGTGATGATCAGGGACACATTTGCCATGATTAATTTATTTATTTATTTTACCTATAGTGCTATAAAGGACATTACTGTACGTGTTGAGCTTGTTTCACCCACTTGGACTGCCCGAGAGATCAATGTCACTGTTCTGCCTCTAAGAATGATATTATTCTGTGAGACACAAAACCCTGAATGTTGCAAGAATCTTCAATGGGCTTCAGGATGATGAAAATATCTGTGCAATGTTTCAGTTCTGAACAATGTGACAATTCAAAGTGTCATTTGTCCTCAAAAAAGGTCCTCAAAATACGACATGAGACTGAACTCACGTGAATAATTATGGGATGTGTCAATTTAGGGGGAAAGTGAGTATTCATTGTTGCTTTCACTGCTTATAACACTGCCCTCATTGCCTTGTGTACCGCAGCCGATATGAACCTCTTGTGTGCTTGTTGTGTGCAGTTCCTCCAGTGATTCGGGTGTATCCGGAGAGCCAGGCCAGAGAGCCAGGGGTCACAGCCAGTCTGAGGTGCCACGCAGAGGGCATTCCCAGCCCACAACTCTCCTGGCTCAAGAACGGCATGGACATCACCTCCAAGCTCTCCAAACAGCTCACCCTGCAAGGTACTATATCAATTATTTTCAATTATTCAATTATGTGGTTTTTTCAAAGTTTATTTTTTTCTTTTTAAGCTTTACATGAAACAAAAAAATGTATTGATACTTAATATATGGCTACATTACGCATTCTACAATTTCTGTAGAATGTTCATATTGGTTTTATTGGATGTGAGACGGATTAAGTACGATTTTTACTAAAATGTGCAGGTTAAAAGGCATTTTTGCCTTTTCACTTAAATGTTATACATGACACTTTATCCATTTATCTTGAAATAAAGTGAATTTTTCCATTTGATTTATGCCATAAATAAAAGAAAAGTATTATTGTAGATATATTTTGGACCAATATATCGATAATCGCTGCAATGGCAAATCCTGAGATAATCGTTATCGTGAGGTTTGTATCGTATCGTGAGGTACCCTGAGGTTTTTTTTTTACTGCGTTAAACAGGGGCAGTCAAAATGATGGCTTTGGTAGTTTCAGAATTCTGAGTGCTTTCCCAATGTGAAACTGGAACTCTCTGAGACCAATTGAGATCAATAATATGTATTTCATCAATTTGATTCTTTTGAATAAGACTCATGTAAACCAGTGTGCCACGATTTAGGTCAGTTTAGAGAAACTGCATCGATCAATTTCTACTGCGTTTACACTGCATGTTACCATAAAAACAGGATACTACTGAGACAAGGCCAGTACATGTAAGTATTTAAGCACATATAGGCCACTCAATCATGTTGATCATTGTGGTGCGTCATCACAATCCCTCTGCACTTTGTTTTCACTGTAGGACATCAAACATAAAGACACAAATGAATACATAATTCTAAAAATTGTAAAATAAAATGATAGTACTAAAGTAATAAAGTGTGCATCTTTAAGTTTGAGAGATCTGTTGTAAAGTCTACAACCGAAAGAACAAAGAATCTCCTAAAACATGGTGTGAAAACTAATTGTTTAAAGCAAACACTATGTTTTATGATTGAGTTTGTAAGTTATAAAGTATATACAGTATGAGAGACATTTTATTTACAATTTGAATGTACTGTATATTCTAATATGCTGTGTACATGTACTCAGTGTGTATCTGCTCGTGGAAGGTATCGTCCAGGAAAAAGTGTCACACTGAGGACAGTCTTGAAAAAGAGATTATTAATCTCAATGTGGTTCTCCTGGTTACTGTAAATAAAACTTAAAAATCATAGCACAGGGGTTCCTAAATTTGCCCAAAATAAGTATGAAACAACCCCCACTGAAGAATAATATTTGAAGTGTCAAAACACACTCTTAACATTGAGTGTTGAAGAGAGTTCAGTTAACACTAGGACTCAGAGAATTCAGACACTACTAGAACTCCCATTTTTTCCGCTCCGATTAAAACCAATGGTCGTGAGTTTTCCTTCAGTTTTAATCAACTGTACATTTACTCACTTATGATACGTGCTAAAACTGGTTGATACAACTTTTAATAAACCATTTTGTTGAAAGGCTAAAGGCTAACTGGTAGCAAGTAAACCAGTATGTTTCCAAAACTAAAAGCAGTCAATGTTAAATAGTAAATTAATGTTGTTGAATGAAATCAAGCGATACCTAAAATGCAGATAATGTCACCGTCTACAGCAGTATGATGGCTCGCACTCTCATGTTTGCACTCATAATCACCTCTTCTGCAATGAATACAATTTTATATAATGAACTTCCAAACATGACATTGAACATACAGTATTCCTCTTGCTGTTCGGTGCCCTGCTTTTAGTAACTCTTCACCCGCCCTCCATCTTCTTTTCATGTTTGTGGATCTTTCTTGGCTCTGATTTCTCTCTCTCTCCCCGTCTCTCTCTCTCTCTGTCTGTGCAGCGAATGGCAGCGAGGTGCACATCAGTAACGTCCACTTCGAGGACACGGGGGCGTACACGTGCATCGCTAAGAACGCAGCCGGAGTGGACGAGGACATCTCTTCTCTGTTTGTGGAGGACTCTGCGCGGAAAACTCGTACGTACAAGTGAAGTGAGGGGGCCCCTAACTGTGCGAGGCTGATGGGAGCCGCCTTTGTGAGCGCTGCGGTGAATAGGTGATGTGACCTCTGCACGGAAAATAACATGAGAGTTACAGAGTAGGGATGTTGGGTTTTTAAGAGTCTTGATCATATGGAGTTTTTACAGTATAAGGGGCGACAGGCATAAACGCGACAATAGTGTATAGAGGATGTTGTTAAGAATGCATTAATATTAACTTTTAGGATTTTGTTTTTTGTTTTGAGCATGCTTTGTGTGTTTTTGATCACTTCCAAATGTTGGTTCCAGTTTGGGTCTTTTCACATTTGACCCTGCCCTAAACTTTTTTCCGGGTTGTGCCCGGTGTGACGAATGTTCCAAAACAATACATAATGCCGTGTACTTGTTTTTGGGTGAGTTTCTTCCACTTCATCCGTTGTTGGGTTGCAGGGGCAGCAGTTTAAGCAGAGACGCCCAGACTTCCTCCCAATACAAGTTATCTTTGCACAATAATAATAACAACAATAATGCATCAGATTATATAGCACTTTTTTGGACACTCAAAGACGCTTTAAATTCACTCCATACACGGTGGTGATAAACTACTACTGTAGCCACAGCTGCCCTGGGGCACACTGACAGAGGGGAGGCAACCAGTATATGCCATCGGCCCCTCCGACCACCACCAACCATTCACACACACACCAGACTCGTTCTAGGCAATGGGGGTGAAGTGTCTTGCCTAATTGCCTGATCAACAAATTGTTGATATTATTCCATATGGATCATACACTTGCAGTTGTCCATTATAATGTGTAACTATATTAAACATTGTACTACACATTATACTGATAGAATACTGATTTTGAAATCCAGATTTTTTTTTGAACAAACCACTCGTCTTTCATCCCAGGGTTCAGGCTGCAGTAAGAAAACGCCTTTAGACTGCTCTTGTTGGTAAAAGTAAGATTTAATCCAGTTAGATTTGAAAGAAAATCCTTCATTCAACTTGAAAGAGAGAATTGTAAGTCTCAGCGGAACGATTCTGACTAATTAAAGGGAAAGAAAGAGTTTTTGTGTTTCCAATTAACAAGTTAGCAAGTATTTATAGAATTTTATTTTTACACAATTGTTTTAGCAAGAACTACAAGGTCTCTGAAAGCTGTCTCAAAGGAGCATTGAGGTTAAACTATTCAATCCTGTGCAATGGTGTAGGTTTGGTTCCAATCTTGGTGGGGACATTCACTACGACCTGAGTCTACACCCATTGACACGGGGTCCAGAGTTTCTCCCCCAGAATTTGTTGTGTAATCACACACTATATTTGCAATAGTGTGTTGCCTTCTATACTAAACTCAGCTGTAGACTGAATGAGAAGCAGTTATGTATGTTAACAGAAGATTAATCATCACAATTCATAATTTGCTATTACTTGTGCTTTCTCTTACTTACTTTCCAACTGTTAAAAAAGCTCCTGATATCTTTTATCTTATTTGTGGAGGTGGCATTTTTTCTAAATTATATAAGAAGGTATAGACAATCAAAAACAGACATTCATATACATGAACTGCAGAATCATTTATATAACTTGGCCAATGTCAAAAGTTACATAGTATTTCTCAATACAATGAGTTAACAAGAGTTTGGCAATAAGTAACAGTGTGGATTTTTCTATATTTTCTTTTTTTTATTCCACTCTCTACCCAAAAAGGCAAGTAATGACTCACAGGGCTCTCAAGTATGCAAAATGAAAACTTAAATGACCTGTTGTGGTGTGTTTTGCGCACAACCAGCATGCATCGTTAACGCAATGGAAAATTTACGTATCCGAGCTTTAATTTCGGGAGCGCTGGTTGCGCTTTGGGAAGAGTCAGGGGAGAGACATGTCATAGACACAGGGGAGAAACGGGGGAGATACGAGGGAGACCCGCACTTGCAACATGGTTCTGTCTGCATATGGTCCGAGCTCGGTACCATGTTAGAGCTGTGCTTTCACTGAGCGCCGCGGCTGTCATTACAAAGCGGCAGCAGCTGCACCAGGACGTGCACATTCGAGTGCATCGCTTGAATGTGCTTAGAGCAAATAACAGCAAGTGCCCGCTGTCACACATTTCACAGAAATTACATTATCAGCAGATAAAGGTTGTAAATCTTGGATCCGTGGAATATTTTCATCCCTAGTTTATCCTGATTCACACAACACACCCACTTATACATTTTGGATAGTAAGAGCACAATAAGTATTTTTTCAGCCTTTCAACCAACCTGTTTCTTTATTGGAGCCAGTTCTGTTCTGTCTCTGTGCCGTGTGAGCTCCTCGGAACATTAAACAGTGCGCTGACAGATTAGAAATAACGTAAGTACTTTGAATGGTAATAGATCTACAGTACTTTCCTCTGATTACTCGCGTGCTACAACGCTCAGGGAACGAAAAAAAACACTTGCTTCACGCTGGCTAACTTTTAAAAATTAAACAGTCGCTCAGTGCTTCAGTTTGGCGCTGAAGAAGACAGCCAATCACTGCAGAGAACGCAACGGGTCACGTGCTGCTGCTGCTGCTGTTGCTCTGGAGGCGAGGAGGAGGCGCGACGTATGCACAAACGGAAGACATGTGTCCCGGACCGTCCGGGTCCCGGGACATCATGTCATTTTGGTGGGGACGTATTAGTCCTCACCAAATATTGGTGGGGACATGTCCCCATGGTCCCCACGCAAACCTACGCCCTTGATCCTGTGCACATTTTTTCAACGTTCTTTTCGAAAATAATACAAAGCCATGCAACTTAAGTTTCCTATAGCTATAGAGGAGAGAAGTGAGCTAGAGTACACACACAATGGCACCACAACACAATTAATTAGAAGCGACCTTTTCATGAGTGCTGGAAATAAAACCAGACATTTTACAGCATAATTAAACCTTATATACGAACAAGGATAAACTCACAGTAAGGGCAGAGGCATTAGTCTTCAATGAGCCCTCGTTCTCATATATGTAGTCCTTATGTCCTCATGTAGTCCTCATGTGGTCCACTTCAGTCCGCTGTAGTCCACTGTAGTCCACTCTGGTCCTGCTTATTAAGCATTGAGTCAATTGAGCCATTATAAGAACTGGTTATGGCCTGTATCTGGATCTACCATCACACTAACTCCCAAATAATAAATGAGTTATAGTGCTTCAAAGATAAAATGTTGATCAAATTAACTCTGACAGACTCTGGAATCAAGGAAATTGAAGTGAGTAAGCGTTTTTTCCTCAAATTTTCAGTGGAAGATGATGAATTTTAAAATGTTTCGCACTCCAAACGATGCCACGGCAGTTGAGAACCACTGAGAGAGCAGGAAGCTTCAAGCCTCAACGCGCTGACGTGGCATTTGAGAATTCTGTTCATGAAAACTCACAGCCGCCTGAACGCTTCACTGATAACGACAGAAGCAGTAGCCGGGCTTTGATGGCCGATCACTTTGAGTTAACGGCTTTTGTGTAGGCACATAAATTAGAGCAGGGATGTCCACCTATAGCTCTGGAGCTACCAGAAGCTGTCCCTCTTCAGAGTAGTATAAAAAGGATTATGATAGATTTGTTTAATGGTATAACGCAACAGAACAAAAAATGCCAAAAAACATTGATTTGAACATACAGGGACGGTCTTAAAACAAGATTTGCCAATAGAACACGTCATACATTTGTTGTATCTGTGCAGGAAATAAGACTAAAACTGATTGTTCCATTGTTTTAACAACGCCAAAAAGTTTCCAATTCAAGATAAAAACTACATAATCCATTGTAGCTCAACATTTTGTTGACGGTCTAAAAGGAGTAGCTCTCTGCCAGTGTCGTCCCGTCAAAGTAGCTTACCAAGGGAAAGGTTGGAGACCCCTGAATTCGAGATTGTACCTTTTGACTCTGTGTGTAAACCTGATGCACTGTTTGGAACGCTCTGTCTCCAGCCCATTGACTGTAAATATGAATTGGTGTAGTCACGCCTATCTCCGCCGTTATAACTAATGGGCCAAAAATTGGGCTCTCATGGAGTGATTCAAAATGGCCACGGGTGCTGGAAAATCTGAAAAAACGGATCTGCGCATGCGTCAGCCGACACAAGCCCTTTTCATTTAAACGAGTGACTTCGAAAATTCAGAGCAAGTAAACTAGAGTGGTCAAAAAAAAATTCAATCCCCTCAGCATTGACACACATGTGGAACGGAGCTTTGGACCAAAAGCCAACTTTTGGACCACCCTGTAAAGATGTTTTCGAGAGGTCTCCTAATGCTATATGTTAGCATTGGCTAATTCTTATTCCAGGGTCCACCCCCATCGGCCCGGGGTGGTATTGCAAGAACGACAGCGCACGTCATTTTGACCACTTTTGAGCAGTGACCCACCACCCCCACTGCTCCAGCCCTACTGGTGCTGTGAGCATTGCGAGGCAGCTCTGATTGTCACCCCTCACCCCGGTAATGGACTAATAAAGGAGTAGAAAATGAATGAATGAATGAATGTCTCCAGCCCGTCTCCGAGGCCACCTGTGGTATTGCAGCCATAACAGATAGCAGAAATTCAAGCATTTTCAATAATTTTTTATCTGGTTTAGCTCTACTTGGCAGAAATTAGCTTGCAATCACATCATGAATCGCTGCTAATTGACTCCATGTTTCTTCTATTAACTAGGAAAACATGTTCATAAATAGATCAACCTCGGTCACTATAACACCAGTATAAAAGGATGGATTGCGCTTTATTACATCATATTAGCACGTTCAAAGTGAGAGCTTTTGTTCCTGCTTGTCTGTTGTAAAGACGATTTTCCTGTGAAGTCAGTGCAGCGTGATCACGTGACTTATGTTCTTAGATGCTTCTGTGCTCGACAAGCTCCTGATTATTGCCTTCCGCATTACTGCTAATTAGTGTGAGCTGTCAGCACGCGGAGGTGTAACTTTCTCCTATGCATATAAAAGCGTGAGAGAAATAGTTGGATACAATAATTTAATGTGATTTCC